TAAATATTCAAAAGATAGCTAGCTGCATCACGCTAAAAGAAGCTATTATTATAGATATTACACCGCGAAGTCCGGAAAACTTACCCCGGAGCTTGCGAAGGGCCGTAAGTTTTAGCTTGCGGCCGGGCTGAAGCGTCATATTTTCTTTACATCCTTTTAAAGAGTATTTCTTATAGAAAATCGATGCGGAAGGCAGCCTCGCACCACGACCGGGCGAAGCAAGGTCTCCTCTGGCCCCGGAGCTTGCGGAGGGCAGCCAGAGGCAAGACCTTGTTACGTACGTAATACGGTAAAGGATAACTTCATATACCACGGTACAGGCCTAAGTATTACCCCTCGAGTACTACGTACTACGTACAACGTATAACCGTGCGGTAATAAGGGAAGTTATCGGCAACCGGCTACTTTTGGTCTCAGGTTCTATAATAACGGATGCGTTAGTCCTAACACCGACACCGACTTTCATAGTCTAGCACTTGCTTGATTTTTTTGACTTGATTACTGTATAACCGAGAGCATTAAGGTTTCCCGCGCTTGACGATCGATGATTCTCCAAAACTTAATTTCCTTCTACGTAGTATAAGAAAACCACTTTGTTTCGAATTGTCTTATGGCCTGCCTTGCAAAAAGTATATTGCTCGTATTTTTTATACTAGCGATAGAAAGTATATATACGAAATTGCCGAGCCACTTCGCAATCTCAACTATATAAGATAAGCTGTTCCTCTTCCTCACTCTCACTACACACCCTCACTACAGTGCTCTACAGTCTTCTTATAAGCTCAATCCGTCAAAACGATCACCTTCAATTACCACCATGCGTTTCAACAATAACCTCCTCTTGCTCGCCTCCTTCCTCGGCGTCGCAACCGCCCGCCGCCGAGGCTGCGTTCTTCAACTCGGCCAAACCGCCGGCACCGGCTTTTACAACCCTGTAGAGGGCGAAACCTTACAGCAAATCGCGGCTGACTTTTGCACCACTGGAACCGAGCTGCTACGCCTGAACGATGGCAAATCCCCAACACCACAATACAATTACAATGTTCCTTGCAAGTCTCGGCAGCGCGATTGCGCTAGGATCGCGGGCAGTGATAATGGGTACTACACCGTCGTTGCTGACGACCAGTTGCAATCTATTTCGAATGATTTCTGCACCGACAACGATAAATTGCGGTCATTAAACCCCCAATCTATCAAGGGCTCATCACTTACCACCGGCTCGATCATCGTGGTTCCTTGCTCTTGGAACTAGCTACAATGAAGGACATTGGAGGTGGGGGCGAATTCGCGATTGCGAAGAGAAATTTGAAGATGTGAAAGGTTGATCCTACGCATTATTGCAGAGCTTCTCAGTCAGGGGAATTCGATGTCCGAATTTCGTGAGCATAGAACTGAATGAAATGGAAACTTCTGATTTAAACCCATCGGATTCGAATTTGAAATGTGCTTGAAAGGGATATTGCCGCCCAGCAGTGCTGCCTTTGATGATGATCTAGTCGATGTATGCAAAGAAGGTGTTCAAAATTTTTAGTAATATATATATATATATATATATATTTCTATTCAGCAGTAATCCTCGGTTACCCTGAACTTGATTTGAAAGAAAAAAATTGACTTGCTAAGTATAGCAAGTCGGAACCACCAAAGCAGGTTTTTTTCATCACTTATAAAATAATACATATCTATAAAATTATAATGAAACGTAATCGTCGGTTTCCTTAAATTTAATTCGAAAGAATTGACCGACTTGCTGTAGCAAGTCGGCACCACCAAGGCGGGACAGTAAAATTTGCTTCTTTTTAATGAATAGAAAATAAACCGACTATTATATAATAATTATTTCTGTATAAAGAGGTGCACCGTACTGAACTTAATATTAATCAATTAATCGAATTTTAATTACAAGTTGTTATTCCTTTATTGTGTTAAGTTAAAGTAGTAAAAATAGTACTTTTGGTATGGACTTTTCGATTTTACCTTAAAGGGGAATGCAAGAGCATTTAGACGGTCAGCTGATCATCCGATAACCATTTCTTTTAAGGACGATTTTAATAGGTTAGCATGGCTGGTGGATCACCCTAGGCCGATACTTAAAATTGAATAGAATCTGAAAACAAACGATTTAAATCTTTTAAATCGTAGCTAAAATAAAACTATTTTATTCGATTAAATCGTCTTTTTTAAATACTCGTCTTTTCGTATAAAAACCGTCTTGGGACCGTTCTCGGGCGTTCTAAGACCGTCTTATAGCCGTCCCATAGCCGTCCCATGGCCGTCCCTGAGCTTAAAACCGTCCTAGAGAGCGTAAGTTAGTAAGCAAATACTCTTTTTATTGCTTGCTAGTCTACCCTTTACTACCTTAACTATATATTATACCTCTCACACTTTTACCGGAACACCACTTCCGTACGAAGGTTGTAAGAGTGGCCCTCGTACGCGGGTCAACTTTTGCTAAATCGATCGATTTCGATTATGAAAAAATTAAAGCGTTGATATACAAGCCGTAGCAGCGATACCGAGAAATATCTTGGCGTCGAACTTCTTAAATTATTATTAAAACAATTTTATTCAAAAGATAATTTTTATCTAA